TGACCATGTCTGTAGTGCCTGAACTTTGTTAGCAAAGTGTGCCTGTGAGTAAGTGAATGATGAGTGCTTTTGTGATGAAGATGTAATTTTATAAAATATAAAGTATTATTCCATTTTTCTTATCATTCTGTATTTAAAATGTTTATCTAAAGTATGCTGAGAAGGTTGAAGGGGAGAAAAAACAGAAGATTTTTTTTTTTCTCTCTCTTTTATTGTTGACTTTTGGATATGATACATGGAACTTACTTATTGGGTTTATGAACTTTTTTCAGTCGGCCTCTGTCTTCTAAATGGTCTGCAGCCAGCCCAGCAAGTTTTGCAGGCAGAGGTAAGGTGGTAGCAATATGGCACAGTGTATAGTAATAATCTTTATATTCTTTGAATTGAAAGTTCTAAATGCAGCTTAAAATTTTACTGTCTCAGCGTTTACCCTGTTTCCAGGTTAAAGAATGGTACATGTTGCTACAAACTGTACCTGGGGCTAATATTGCCTCACACTCGCTTCACGTTTTATGTAGTTTCAGTAGTTGCAAGTATAAGAAATAATTTGTTATTAATTGATCATCTCTCTTCGAGTTTTGTCATGGAACAGTCCCTCTCACAGAAACAAAGCATTATTCTTTGGTCTGTTCGTGATTATTAGTCTTACATCAATTGGAAATAGAAGACTCATTGTCCCTTTCATATTTTCCCATGTAGCTGTTGCTCTTTATTAAAAAAAAACCAAAACAAACAAACAAAACCAAAAACCAAACCACGTATTTGTGATTCAGAGAATTTAATTTTGTCTTGAGTTTTCATAATTTAATAACTTCAGTCTCTTTTCACAGTGTGTTAGTAACCCCTTGCCGAGTAAATCATTGAGCAGCTTTTTACAAATGGCCTGTAATTGAGAATGCTTGTTTTTTGGATACTGAAACTGTTAAGGGGAGTCAAGTTTTGAAGACCTAGAACAACGGTTAAAATTAATTGAAGCGAGTAGTTAAAATTCAGCAAATAATAGTAGGCGAACACAAAAGTACAGAAGATTAAACCCTAAAGCATTTCAGAGTATGCAGTCAGCTTGCCTGAGGCTTTATCTTAGCTCAAGTGTGGGAGCGTTTTCTTCCTTCTTTATCTCAGGGGATGCTGTGAGTTTTCTTACGTTTGTGAAGCACTGACTAATGTAATAAATCACATAATTGTTCATTTGTACTAGGGAGGGAACACACAGTTGCATTAAATAGTGCTAAAGTTTCATACAGAGTGAAGATGAGTACTTACTGTAAAACAAACTGTCCTTTATATCCATTTCATGGCAACACCAGGTCTAGTTTGCTTTTCACTCTCTGGAATTACTTGCTATCTTAACTTCACTTAAACATTTTGCATAGATTTCTCTGCTTTCTGCAAGTGCGCCGCGACAGTAGAAAATTCTAGCCTTTTACATGTAATTTTTTTTGTTTCTTTGTTTGTTTGGGTTTTTTTTGCCAGTTTCAGGCAGCAGCAAGGGTGTTCCAAGCCCTGGAACCCTGCAGAGGTCTCGCAGTGACATCGACGTCAACGCTGCCGCAGGCGCGAAGGCCCGGCACGCTGCTGGGCAGGCAGCTGGGGCTGGGCGCTTGTCAGCTGCTGGTCTGCCTCCAGGATCCTACGCTTCCCTAGGTAAGGGCAACATCTGCACCCTGCTGGGAGACGTTTTGTGAGGATTTCGGTCAAAAAGTTACAGCAGAAGTCTTAACGTATATGAAAAAAATGGTTGTCGTTTTTGGCAGTATGGGAGTGTGGCAAAAGAGAAGGTGCTCTGAAGTAAGTTACCGACTTTGCTAGGTGTTTTTTTTTTCTTGTGCTGGAAGATAGCCAATGCAGAGAATGTGTCCATACTATGCTCTTTAAATGTCTTAATCTGGAATTAATATTAAGTATTGGAAGGAGCAGTACTTTTACTTAACAGCATATGGTGATCATGATAATTTTGTTTCTAAAAATAATAGGGAAACGAGTGTCAGGGCTCTTGATTTTCCATTTTCTCAGCTCTTTAGCTGACTGTTTTACAACAAGGCTAAAGAAACATCCTGGCAGGAAGTGTTTTACAGAAGTGTTTTACACAATAATATACAACATTTTAGTTCATAGATTCCTTTCTGAGGATGTTGGTGGAAGTATGTGTATATGTTTTATGTAGGTCACAGTCTCCATTGATAGGAGTGCTTGCTGTTAAACACAGAAAATGCTACAAGCGATAAGAATGCAGAAAAAAATTTGATGGTGTTAGTGGTGTAGATGCTAGAATTTCCAATAAGTGGGAATTAAAAGTGGGAATTCCAGTAAAGGAATGTGGGCATGTTTTTGTAATTTTTAGGTTATCCATGCTATAGGTTCAGCATTCACAAAACTGTTAGTTGTTTTACTTTTCAGCTTACCTACCAGCTAGGTCACCAAGGAGACATATTCTGATATCAGTATGGCCATAGATGATCACAGAAGACAAACTGTATATTTCTTCTGATTTACCTTGTGTTTGGGGAGATGTTAGCACATATGTAGGCTATGCTTTTCAAAGCATTTGGTTGTGCTTTCTAAAATGAAAATTTAATTTAAAGGCTTAATTTGAAATGAGTAGATTGTTTTCATCAGGGCCTACTTGAAATGGCTTGAACAGCACTGATTTTAGTGTTAATTTTGTGAGTGTGAGTATCCCTGACTTAAAGTAGTACTTGCCACTTGGAATAGCGATTTTGGGTGTGGGCTCCCTCTGGTGCCCACAGAAGGGGCAGCAGAACCTGCTGGGTAACAAGTGGATGCCAACGTTAGGCTGCTTGATGAAGTGGACATGCGTGTGGCTCCCTAGAGGAGTTGTGGATGCCCCATCCCTGGCAGTGTTCCAGGCCAGGCTGGATGGGGCTTGGAGCAGACTGCTCTAGTGGAAGGTGTCCCTGTCCATGGCAGGGACCAGATGATCTCTTAAGGTCCCTTCCAAGCCAAACCATGGGAACTCTCAGTTCCTCCTAACATAACGCCTAAAAACCTGAAATCTGTGAGATGATTATTTTCCAAGATCTCAGTATTGCCTGGTCTGTTTTGTTGTGCAACAGGACAGATTTTGAACCTCAGACAAAGCTGGAGTTCAGCTGTTGTGAGAAGTAAAAGCATCACAGTGGCTTGAAGGGGAAAAAAAAAGTCAAATGGAGAACAAAGAAAGAAATCTTGCTTTGTTCATCTGTCTTCTTCATGCTGCTGAAATGAAGGGACTACTTTGGTCTTAAGAGTTTCACAGAAAATTAACTCTTGATTAGAGTTTAGAACATTTAGAACTTTTAGAACATTTAGAACTTTTAGAACATTTAGAACTTTTAGAACATTTAGAACTTTTAGAACATTTAGAACTTTTAGAACATTTTAAGCAGTATGTGATTCATGCCCAGACTTATGTAAGCAAGGGTTGAGAAGGGCACAGGGGTTTTCAGTGAAATAAACAGTGGTGGTTCTATGCAGGAAAAACATCAGAAATAAAGAAATAGCTTCTTCTCGTTGGAGATTTGGTGAGTTAGTGTGGGCAAGACAAATAATAAGCAACATTCTTTGGAAGGATTTGGGTTGCTGGAAAGCTTTACTTTGCTACCAGATGCAGTCACTGTTGGAGAATAGTGTAATGGTTGTTTGAAGTGGCAAAATAATGTAATCCTGGCGATGTCTAGTGAAGTCAAATCCTAGTGCAGACAGTGTAAGGAAAGCAGTAGCCAAGGAGACCGAGGTTTGTTTACAAGCAGTACTGCTTCACTGGTCTTGGCTGAGTCTCCTAACAGTTTTTGCGTTGTGGTAAGGTAGTTTAAATGGCACATAACCTGCCCACTCTCCCCCATGTAGAGAGTGTGACTGTTGTTTGTTCAGCTGTGGATTGACCATGGAATCCACCTCGAAATACTGTTTATTCTTAGATGTCAAAAGGTAGCCTTAAAATGAATGGAGTGTGAATCCAAGCAAGTGCCGTGTTTCAGAAGATGGGCTAATTTGTAAACTTCTTATAAAATTCTAAATGACAGAATTTTTAAGATAATGCTGACAAAAGCTTAGGAAAATGTTACTGTATTTCCATAATGGTTTCCACATCTCTCAGGTGCTGCAATTAGTACCAAAATAAATAACATTATCTCCTAGAGTTTGAATTTATTTTTACCCTTAATTGCAGGGAAACATCCACCTTTTGCTTAAACATCTACCAAATTCGAAACCTCGGAGGGCCACAAATTTATGAGCGTAGTAATCCGTAATTATCTCCAACCATCTCTTCCCTTTTTATTATTAATAGAAGAACTCTTGCTTATGATTTTTTAAAAGACTATTCTAGAAACAGGAGGACATTCTCTAGTTATTTTAAATGTTGGCTATCTTGGACATCCTTAAGTATTAATGTCCTTGTTGAGGAGGAGGCTTGAGCTGTAATTATATATGTCTCATGCTAAATATTTTAATTTTGATTGTTACTGTCAGAATATTTATGCACTACCTTCCAGCTGAATTGGTAAATATTTAATGCTTTTAAACCAGAGTGAAACTTTCTCCCACTTTTCATCTGTCTTAATTGCAGTATTTTTTTCCCTCCTGTCCCTTACTCCAGGTGGGACTTCGTGCTCAGTAGCAAATTTCATAAGAAATATAAATATTGTTATTCAGTAATTATATAGATATGTACTGATGATTCAGTAACTGTTTACACCAAGCATGAAAGCATTTCTAAATGTTTTACTGTAAGGGTTTTGTCAAATCTGACAAATACAGAGAGATGCAATATCCTTCTCCGGGGTGCTTGTACCCTGTTTTGTAATTTTGTACCTCGGACTGAGAGAAACCAGCTTTACTTAAGTTAGCTTATACATGCATGAATTAGATAAACATGTCTGCTGTATTTAATATTAATGCGTTTTCCTTAATTAATGTTTTATGACTCTGCTGTGAACACCTTTATTCTAACACACTAAGTTTTCCATGTTTCTTTGCCTGCTTTTTCAACAAAGAGGATACTTCTGACAAGATGGATGGTAAGAAATTGTTTAGTCTGTCCTCTAATTCTATTAAATATTTACTAAAGTGTCTTTTATGTAAAAGTATTGATGTTTAATATATTTGTTTGTTCATTAACAAATTACTATGCTGTTTTCATTAACCCCTGTGTAATCTTGATGTCTCACTGTATGTGTTATTGCTGATTTTGTCAATGTTGTTAATGTTTGGGCAGTACAGCAACAGAAACTTTATCAGAAATTGGGCATTACTCCTGTTTTTGAAAGAAGCTCAATTAACTGCAGAGCAGTTCTCTAATCAATACATGCTGCTTTTTAACCAGTCTAGTTCCAGCATGTTTCATAGTTTAACATGTAAAGTAAATTTTTTTTAACTTGGCAGAACAGCACTGGAAGATGCTTGACCACTTAACCACGGATTACAAAAAATACCACTAAACTCTTCTCTGTCAAAATCTACTCTACCTATATAATTTCAAGTGCTTGTAAATCCTGTAATACAGTGTAATTCAATTAAAGAATCACTTGTGAAGACCTTACCTGTTAAAATAGGTTACCAAGTCTTCCACCTAGGTTTTAGTGCTTACTTTTTCTTAATTCACCCTATTATAAACACATGGAGGGACTGCAAAACAGTTGAGAATCAGGCTTCTCATAGCAGTTTTCTGTTTCAGGTGTGAGCAAATAATGCTTCACTCATGCTGCTTTATATATGGTGCTTCACCAGCTTCTGAGCTGATGCTCAGAGTCCCAGCTGGATGCCCAAAGATTCCAGTTCTAATTTATTGCTTGGGGACACTTAAAAAGCACTTTAAAAGTTTGTGCAATCCCTAGTTTGCTGCTTGCTTTTTAATTCGTGTTTATTAACAGTATTAACAGGTACGTGTTTTGAAGAACATTTAATTTACTGGAAGCAAAGCAGGTGATATTTTTCATAGAAATGAAAACAGTGAGAAGACAGATCTCTAAAACCCAGAATCCTGAATCATTTTATTAAAGCACAGATGCTTTTTGAAAGAATTTGAGCCATTTTTGAGCATTGAAGATGGCGAGCCTATTTAAATAAAATGAGGAGGGTTTTACAGTGCAATAGTGTCCCTGTCACTTAATTCCAGATCATATTTCCCTGTGTTGCATGTAATAGGATTTATTTATAACTGTTTGTGCTAAACACTTAATCTTGAGCTTTTGCACATTGTCACCAGCACCCTAGGGCCATGTTTGCAGGCTTTTTCTTCAGTAGCCACTGCTAATGGTGTTGCACATGTATCTGTTTAAAAGTAGTAGGGGAAATGCTACACAACTGATCAGAGTAACAGAGGTTTTTGTTTTCTGAAGGGTATCTGTAGATATGATGTGCAAGATGGAGTGAACACAGCTTTGCTCTCCAGCTGTAGTTGTTTGATATAACTGTTCTGATCTAACCACCACCAGGATCAAATAACCATTTTTACTTTCCCCACTAACCTTGTCCACGTGTTTTTATTGCTTCTTTCTGTTAGTGCCTTGTAATATTCCATTATCAGTCACTGTAGGCGAACCAACTCCATAAAACTGATTTCATAAAACTGTGTAGTGTTCTGTTATTTTGCTTTTGTGTGGTAGCACAAGAGCCACGAGGAAGGAGAAACAGAACCACCCCTTGTAGGAACTGTTAGCCTGGCTTAGGTGTTACATAAAATCTGCCTTTCAGGATCCAGCTCTGGAAGAATGTTGGATTTGGAAGGGTAGTTCAGGGTTTGGGGGTTTGGCTTTGCAGTCTTTTGGCTTTTTTTTTGCTTTTTTTTTTTTTAAAGAATTGGCAAATTTGATCTGGAAAACTTTGAGGCACTCCTACATACATATCACTGAAAGCGATTTTTGTGAAGAAGCATTGAAATTTACACTGAACTAATTTTTTAGAGGGATTTTTTTAAAAATACTGTCCTGAAGATACTATAACTTGAGAAAGCCATAGCCAGATTTACTAAGAAAGTTAAATTTAGACTAACCAAAGACTCTAACAGATGTTTTCGGCATTGTATTTTCTTGCAAGGCAGAAATAGAAGAGTGTGAAAACGAAAACTAAAGTACCCTCTGATTTTTTGCAGGGCATTTAATACTTTTATCACTAGTAATGTATATTTTATTCCATATTGAGCTTTGTTTCAAAGGCACTTAGAGGAAGGAAGGACTGCAGATTAGGCATCTTGCCATCAATTCCTAGGGTACTGATGTCAGGAAGAAGACTTGTCTGATTCTCATGTTGTCAAAATCAAGTCTTGTTAAGCTTGGCATACTTGTTCAAGTGTATTCTGGTTTCAACAAGCTTATATTCCTTCCAATTCGCCGAGCAAAACTTGATCTTGTCCATGTACATCTTGCAAATAATCACAGGCTTAATTCAGAGAAATCCTCCTGGCTGGCAGTTCCTATCAAATTATCGCTGTCCAGTGTGGGGAAACACTGTCTTTGTGTTTTTCTCTGAGCTTATGTATAATAGTATGTTTTACATTTTCAGAAGAGCTTGCACTACAGTATTTTTAATGTCTGTTTTGATCTGTTGTGTCATTTTGTTGACTTAGCTCATAAATGTAACTTTTTCTATTGATTTTGTTTTTTGTGGTTTTGTAACAAGTTTGGAAGGCAGTATTGTGCATAGTGTTTTTGTAAATCCCTAACAGTGTAGTATGGATATTTCTTGATAATTTTACTTCCATTCAATTATGGAGTTGCAACACAGAAGCTTTAGCTATCTTGGCTCGGTTAAAATTTGTCAAGATTCCTAAGATTAATATCAAAAAGGAATTTGAGAGAGACAGTATTGTTTGGAATATCATGTATTTTATTATTTTTCCTGTTTAGGAACAGCTTCTGAAGATGGTAAGAAAATATTTTGTTAGACTAGTTAATATTTTCAGCTTCATATTTTCATTGATACAAATTAAGCTTTAAAAGTAGAATATGGTCTTTCTGGGGCTTTGTGGAGGTTCATAACAGACAGCTTATGCATCTAATACTTGGTTGTCATGTAGTATTTTTAAAATTCTTTTGCTTTTAATTCTCAAGTAATTTTCATTTGCAGTGTAAGTGTCATTGCTTAACATTCCTACTGTCAAAATGTAGGGGCTTTATAATTTTGCATTTGTTTTTTTAAAGCAAATCTTGTCTCAGGCTATTTCATCAAATATGTTCATGCTCTGGGAAGCAGGTGCTACTATTCCTCATCTCTTTGAGACTCAGGAGTTAGTTTTCAGTATGCTTTTAACATTTAAACCTGTCATTAGTGAATGGGATGTGGGGGCTCCAAATGAGTTAACAGTTCGTTTGCCTCACAGACACAAACTGGTTTGTTTTACGTTGATAAAATCGAACCAGGTTCCAAGTGA